GAATGGGATTTCTCTCCCATCCTTTCCCTTGCATGGGTAGCGCTCGGGGGGATGCGACGTGAACATGTAGCCGGCCGTCGTAGGCGCGTGAGTGAGTGAGTGCAAGTAGAAATATGTATATGCGTGTGGGTGGGTGGTGATAAGACACACACAAATATATATATTATATATAAATAAATATATTTTCCTTAAAGCGAAGATCCTAGGAGGTCTGTTAGGTCCTCGGATCAAGGGAGCGGTAGGGGCAGGGGGCGAGGACATCCTTTGCGAAATGGGGACGGCCACCATGGATGCAGGGACCTGGTGCCCTCGGCACAGCGACTCGTTTCAGGAAACCTGCTCTCCAAGCCAAAAAAAAAAAAGAAAATATCCAAGGACAACTTAACTTACGGACAGGAGCCGGAGGGAAGCCACTCTTTTTTTCTAAACGCCCCCTTTCCCGACCTCCTTTCGTCTCCATTCCCCATCCCAGTGACTTTCTCCCGGTTCTCTTCTATAACTGGGCTCGGGTCTGAAGAGCAGGGAGGGAGTGCCTGGCCTCACCGGGGCAGCTCCTCTGCTAGTCAGGGTATAGATTTGGGTTTTTTTTACCGTCTCTTCAAGCAGGTGTTTGGGAGGAGAAAAGCTCTTGCCAGTGGTTGCTGTTACAGTGAGATCAATAAAGATCTTGGTTCTATGAAATCGAGGTGCTGGAGGTTTCTTCTGACCGTGACTCGGGGTGCGGGGGGGATTTTTCCCTTCCCTTTGGAGCAAACACTGCCTGGGCTTCACCCCCTTGCAGGTCAACCCCCCCTCGCAGGTCAACCCTCCTTCCTTTTTATTTTAGCTTCCCCCCCCCCTCAAATTCTTTAGGGGAGTTGCTTTCCAAATTTCCAATTTGGAAAAAAGGGGATCCAGGCCAAAGACAGGAGCGAGCCCCACCTCTCGCTGGGCAGAACTCAGTGTTACAAAGAGCAGGGCATGGTCAAACCCAGAACCAACAGCCAAGGGTTAAGGTGGGACTCGATTGCAAAATTTCGTGTACAGAAAAATCTGATTTTACCATAGAAAGGTCTCCCACGTACAAAATTGCTGCAAATTGGTCATTTATCCTGCACCACCTGGGGCGGAAACGTATAGAGACCTCCTGGGCATCAAACCAGAGAGGTGCCAAAGAAAGTCCTGCTTGGGACATCTCCAACCCAGATTCCAAGCATGCAAATAAACCCCTGAACTTAAGCCGAGCTTAAATTGCAAACCCCCAGCAATTTCACACGCTGCCGCCAAATGCATTTTTGCACCAACCTGGGGGTACCCCTCCGTGACCCCTTGCAGCCGATGCTGAAAGGCGGTACGCCGTCACAGCGCCCATCCCTGTCTTGCGAGCACTGGGCAGGTTCCTGAAATGTCAGCTGCCATGCTAAGGTCATCATGGAAACTGGGTTTTAGCTGCTGGGGGCTGCAAAGCTGTTGCAAAGCCAAAGGTGCCTTGCAAATCAGTGCTGGCCAAGGAGAGAGTGTGGGGGCGCAGCCACTCCCACCTGGGCTCATCCTTGAAGGGCCTTAACAGCCCTGAGCAGCCTCGCCTAGGGACCCCCCATGCCCAGGAGCACATTCAAGCCCAGCCCCTGGCCTGGCTGTGTCTCTCAGCCC